CTCCAGCAGTAACCAGGACTTCCTCATTTGCTCAGGTCTTTTGCATGTAGACACAGGCTAGGATTTTGATGACCACCTAATCTAAGTGCCTTCAACACATGATATTCTTGTAGCCCTTCTCCTGCTGGAGGTACCAGAAGAAACAGCAACTCCCAGACATTCCCATTCTTACCAGTCTTAACATATCTATTAGAATTCTCCAAAATTCCAGTGATCATCAACCATGGAAGAGAACTACAGAAATTTTAACCCTCTGCAGAACAAAGCAGAGAAACTATTTCAGTGGACAGCAGAACTGCACAGTATTTTACGGCAAGAAGTGAACTAATCATAATTTGGCCACAGGTTATAAACAGGTTGTTTTCTGGTGTTAATTTCTTTAATAATCTTCTAATAAGAACATATGCATTCCATGCTATTTCTCTCAAGGGATTACTATATGTTGAAAAATGTTCTAGAAAAATTAAATGTAGAAGAGATTTATTTCTAGGTACCACCAGAAAAATCCAGAACACTTATTTGTTTTACTGACTAGTTCATCTCCTTTCCTTAACAGTACTTTTTAGAAATATAAAGTAACTGCAAATTAGGGCAAATAGTGTGTTGGATTTCATGCATCTGATCAACATAACATCACCTCAAAATTAATATATACTATCTGGAAACCACTGTGCCCACTGATGCCTTCCACCCTCCTCCATTTCAGTGCTGTGAGCGTTATCAAAATAGTTGGAGCCTAGTATAGATTAGCTGCAGGAGAGGGGACATCACAATTACCACACGTTTCTAAAAAAGAAAGCAAAAAGCATTGTCCATTTGCTTCTAGTCTAGAAGGATTCCACTATGAGGGGAACATGGATAATTCAATATATGGAAAGATAAAGTTTATTGTTCTCCAGATCGTTGCAACGTTTGAAAGCACTGGTCTTTGTGCTACCCTCAGGAAACTCTAGGTTACTTCAACAGTCTAAATTAAATAAGTGACCAGATGAACAAATTCCTTACCTCTGCCCCTGTGGGTCTTATCTGTAGTGGCTGTTTAAGAGAATGATTTCTAGTGCACCTAAAGGCAAGTCTTCATCTTCACTACAGAATTTATATATGAATTCTTTTGAGAGTTGCAAGAAGCAAAATCAATTGCTGAAGACTTGAGAACTAATTTAAGAAGAAAAAATGTACAAGGAAAAGTTATTGCACCTCTTAATCTTTAAAAGAATCATTACAGTGAGAAAAAGAGGATTTTTTTTTTTTTCCCCAAAATCCTGTTTTCTGGCCACGTTGGAAGAAGGCCTTGAACCTCACTTTCTCAGGTGGCAAGCCTAATACAGACTAATATCCAGACTGTAGATTCAAATAGTTTTCAGACAAGCAAACAAAGAATTGGTTTGTTCAAAGCAGAACAGATTCAGTGACGTACTAAGAGGACTTTAACAGCAGATCCAACATGCGACAACTCTGCTGACACAGGACTGAACTCCTTTTGTATGATAGTGAGCAGATATGAAAATGGTCTTTTATTTCCTATACTAGGACCTAAGTGGTTCTTCTCTTTTTCTCTTAGTAGCAACAGGCTCACTCCAGGTGGAAGGGCTCCTGGTGTGAACTGTACGAACTAAACCTGATAGGGTTCTTTACTTTATCCTCTAGATTAAGTGTGAGAACTGCATAAAACCACTCAAGGTCTTCTGATTCACAGGAGCAGACCTGATTGCATAATTTGCAGAGTTGCCAGCAGGAGAGCTGTAAAACTGCCAGCCAGGAGCAGCAGCTGTATAATACCCCCTGGGGGAAGAATGCTGGAACACCCACACTACATTTATATCCCATTTTAACTTCAACCTTGGACTTTGCTGGCAGCAATGGTCTCCAGACTGATTTGCTAGCAGCTCTATCACTTAACCTAAAGGCATAGTTAAACTCATTTTATCCACCTACAAGTGGCATTTCTTCTCTTCCACTCCCGAGATGATGAAGCTTTTTTTCCTTAGAATTCCTCCAGAGTAGCATTCTCCATAGAGATCTCTGCATCATTTTGCATCACCCTTCTTGAAACTCACCTTCCTTCATCCTTTCAGCCTCTCTCCTCATTCACATGCATTCTCCTTACTACTTATTAGTAAGTGATCTGTGGTGGAGTCTTCCTTCCTCTCTCCAAAACATTCTTAGACTGCTACCATCGATCCACAGCACAAGCTAGGCCAGCTCTTCCTCTATACCAGCTCGTGAAGCAAGAAATCAGATCTGAGCCACAACTCCAAAAGTAATAGCTAGTTTAAGATAGCAAGACAGATTATCTCAGTTAGTACTGCAGTATGTAAAAGACACGAGCCAGCTCTTGACTACAGATGTTAAATGCAGGCCACAAACTTAGTAAAGAACTTCAGTACTTACACAGATGGCTTTCCCATTCTGTCAAGGATTACATCTGGACTTAGTTTTTTTTAAAGCAGGGTTTTCTAAGGCAAGCAACATTAGTACCAACTATAGGTATTGTTACAAAAACACACATCCCTGCTCCCCTCTGCAAAAAAAAAAAAAAAAAAAAAAAAACCCAACTAACTAAACCAAGCTTTTGTTCACTATTTTCTCCACCCATCTCCTGTCTTTTGGAGTACCTGAAGTGATTGCTTATGAAGGTAGGCGTGAGTGTGCAGTGAAATCTATGTATGTGGGAGCCAACAGCACCACAGCATGCCCAAGCTTTGAAGCAAACCAGCATCAACTGGTGAGAGATTGAAGCAGAAACTGGGCAGTGTGGCAAGTTTTGAAGTCATGCAGATCAGGCAGAAAAAGCACAGAGAAAAGGTCCTGGAAAAGGATTACACAAGGTGAACAACAGAAGAAATAAAAGCTGCTCAAGAACTTCAGAAAGCTAGAAATATCATATACAAAACAAGCCGATATTAAAAAACAAGCAGCAGTAAATTATTCTTGGAGACATAAATATTAATATTACAAAGACTGGACTGTGTGTACATCTGCTGAGAATATAAAAGTTCTTTTGACCACAAAACTATCAAGAAGGAATGAGGACTCCTCACAGAGAAAGGTTGAGCAAGCCTTCAGTTAGCATAAAAAAGACGATGAAGAAAGTACTGAAGTGGCAAGTGAGATCATCACATCCAGACACCACAAAATCATTTAAAACTTCTGGATCAAGTACTTTCTACCACCCTTTTGAAAACAGATGCATAAACACATTGCTAACACATTTATTATTATGGAAATCTGGCAGCAAAATAAATACAAGCTTGACGGAAGGAATCAGCACTGTATTCAGAAGCACTGACCCAAACTGGTGCATTAATACAGTGTCACTGTGAAATGTAGGAAGTGCACATGTACTTTTCCAAGCCAGAAACAAAACTCTCACTGACTCAAGTATGTCCAAAACTGGACTGGAAAGATGCACAGAAAAACCTCAGGGAGAGTTCTGAAGGACATGCCCCAGTGGCACGAGACACACCTGCTATTAAGACAAATTTAGCAACAATTATGGGTAGGACTGATCAGATTTCCATATGTCCATGGACTAAAACTAGTTAGCAGAAAGCACAGCAGAACAATTGTTTCCAGTCACTCTAGTGTGACAGTTCTTGAAGTTGGAACAGTAGCAAAAGTTTCCTGGTAGACCACAAGGCCAAGCTTAAGCTGAGTGGGTTCTGTTGTAGCACCGATTTCTCATCAAGAGTAGCTGCTCCACACAGAAAATCCAGGGCACTTATGAATGGGCATTTCTGCCCCTCCTGTCCTACAGCTTCATTGTGCCTTCAACAATTACCATCTGTCAGATGAAAATGCTGAATAGCAAGCAGCTTTCAGAGTTGGTACGGAAGGGAAAAGAGAGAAGTCTCTCTCAAAACTAAACAGCTTTGTTTGCAAGGGTCTCCTCCGAACTCAAATAACTTCAAGTCCACTTATAAAAAGTGATTTAAAAATGGTGTATTTCACAACAAGAGAAAAAGGTTGAGTCTAGTATCTGATTTTTGCAATGCCAAACAGCAGTTTCAGAAGACATTTATTTTTGAAGTACAAAATGGAGCACATGCAGAAGGCCTGGTCCTCTTCACACATACAAGGTACACTCACTGTTCTGAAGGAAGGTCATGCATTTAGCAGCAGTGTTCATTCCAAGGGCTGAGTTTTAAGTTAAGACTGGCAGCTAGTAGGGAAGAAGAAAACATTTTAGACTTCTAAACACTGTTTCTAGCTTCTACTGTTTAGCACTATGTCATTCCTCCAGCAATATATAAATTAGCACGAAGCATGATTATGCTGAAGCCTATGCATGACATGCACCGCATCAGAACTTAAAAAATAGACTCTGTTGTAACTCTTCATTACAAAAATACCAGATGGAGAAGACAGACCTTCAGAAACAATCTCACAGAAACTAGGAAGACTGAGAAATGCAAACATCTGACAAAACACACACACACACATGCTGCAATGAGTTCCAAAAAACTGCACAGACTGAAATATCATGTTACTGAATACAGATATTATCAAAAGAATTTTTAGAGGTATGCATTTAAGTAACAGTTGCTAAATTTTGTTGTCTAACTAGTCTTATGCTGATCTGCAAGCCTGTTGTTGGCCATACAGTCTTAGAGTCTGGCTCTTCAGGAAGCCTCTGTACCCATTATAAGAACACAAAGTTTGAGGAGAAAAGGATTCAGCCCTGAGTTCTGTTGTTTTAATATACCTGCTCATTTTACCTTGATTACAGTATTCAGAACTGAACTACAAGAACATCAGTTGGTGTTTTTCTCCTCACCTATAAAAAAAATTACAAATGGAAAAGCTCTCAAGGAAATTTAGGTCATACCAAACCACGTGCCAGACAAAAAAGGGTCCAATAAGCACACTCTAGAACACAGTCTCAGCTGAGAAGCAATACAGAATTCTGACACACAACATCTTCCTGCAGCTGTTGGTACCATCTCTGCAGTCTGAAGTTAGATTACAGTCTTGCCCCTTTACCAGTACAAAAGCCTATGTCAAGGATCCAGACTTGATTCAGGTTCTTCAGTTTCATCAGGTAGTTCTTCAGCAGACGCACCACATACATTGTCCTGGTTGTCCGCAGACCGATTTAGCTCATCAGGTTCCCCAGCTGCAATCTGAATCGTTTCTTCTTCCTCTTCTTCCTCAGCTTCCCCATCATCCTCTACATCCATCTCAAACACCCTCACGTGACGGAGATTTGAACTTAGCTATGGAGACATCAAGAAGTTTCCATTAATAAACCCATGCACCAGTACCATTTTAAATGTCAGTCAGTAGCTTTGAAAATAGCCTTTATCTTTGAAAGGGAGGTATCAAGGAAATTAGCAACTTTTTTTATTTCTCTGCAGGCCAAAAAGTAAAACAAGGAGAGCTGTTCTGTTAAAGTTTGCCTGTGCTGTGTTAGGAGAGAGGTATCCTGACAGACTTACAACAGATTATGAAAGCATAATCTGTCTGTTAAAGCTTTGATAAATCTCAAAGTTAGCAGAAACAAGTTATCATTCTCTCCTGTCACAGCATGGTTTCTTTAATAGTTCACAGATACTGTACTTACCACGCAGGAAACTTTTCTAATGCCATTTACAGAAACATACTGAGCTTTCATATTCTCCAGCACCCTCCACTGATTCTCCAAGAAGACAGTACGTGTGGGTATGTCCCCACTTTGCTCATCCAGCCTGCACATAGCAAGAAGAAAAGCACACACCTAGTACATAAGGAACAATTCCAGTCCTAAAAAAATCCTCAGTCAGTCCATTTTCTTATGTCCAAGTTTTATTATATCATATGCAACAAGCAGATAAGTATTGAAACCTTCGTAACAGAGTGCTACCTGTGTTCTAGAGCAGGGGATCCAACTGTGGAGACATAGCACAGTTCAACTGAGGTAAGAGATTACAGCAGGTGAGAAGGGAGTGGTAAAGCCTGATCTTCCCACAAGTAACAGCTACAGCAGGAAGATGAGGATGGCCTTCCTTCACACCTCTCCTCTTCAAGAAGAGGAGTTTAAGAACCAAGTCCTGGAGGCAATACCTTTGCTTACACAGAAGTCTGGCCTCCCTGACCTTTCAAAGATGTATCACTCCAGCTCACCTCCACTTGTAAGGACTGGGTGAAGGAACTCCCTGCCTATTACAGCAGCCTGGATTAGTTTGAACTTGCTTTAAATATTTTTCTGTTCATTCTTCAAGGCACAATTTCTTTGTGGCATTAAAAAATTTACAGTTCAGTATAGCTCTTCACTTTGAGGTAAAAATGTTCTTAAGCAATGCACCAGAAAGGCATAGGGTGAAAAAAATAAAAAGCAAGTGATGTTCAAGGACTAAAAGACTGGATTCACTGCATGAACCACATTGACCTTCTTCGTGTGTGCACTTCCCCCAGATCTCCTCTCTCTCACTCTCCTTTCCCTATGCCAACACAAAGAGAGGCACCAAATCTGATGTTTCAAGGCTAAGCTGACAATAGTTTTAAGGGTGACTACAAGGGGAAAGATGAAGAAATACCTGTGTACCCTCACTGCAAGGCAAAGGCATATAAGCAAATATGCTGAAAACATCCTCAATTCAAGTATTCTGACCAGAAAAGACCATCATCTGAAGAAAGAAGACTTTCAGTCCTACAGTGTGTGTTCAACTGGTGCTCCCGTTTCATGAGAGCCACATACACCATCCTCATTCAGTCTCAAAAAACCAAAATCAATCCCAACCCAATCCCCCCCAAAAAAAACCCACAAAACCAACTGTATAGGAAACTTCCATCTTCCCACCCCATCCTCCTGGGCACAAAAAAAGTTTTTGTCTTTGAAATATTTACACAGGCACAATGCATGAGCAACTGGCTTAATCTGCATTTCAGTTTTGCATTTTCAGACTTGCTCAAGGTTTTTCAATACCTTTTACTAGAATCCCAGATGAATTCCCTGTCTGGGTCCTCATCTGCATATACTGAAGATAATGGCAGCTGAGCCAAGACTCTCTCCTTCCCCTCTTGTTCCACAGTCTCCTTCAGAACTACAGTTACAGTTTCATCATCATAGAAGTGTGCATCTAAACAACTGTAGCATCTATAGAAAAATAATTTAGAAAGCATCAAGGAATAAAAATATTTCAGTTCTGTATTCACTTTAAGTTGCACATCATTCAAGTTAAGAGGTACTCAGCAGATAACAGTGAGCTTCACTGTACACGACAAAAAAGGTCAGTCACACAGCTAAGACACTGAAGGACAGTCATAACCACATCAGTCTGCTGTATCATGCAGGAAAAATGATTCTGAAGGGAAAAAACCCAACCAAACTATAAACACAACTGAAGGTACTAACAGCAATCACATCTGGCCTCTCTACATGAAAAGGATGAGTTTGGCCTGCCATGCCTTCTAAGATGCCTTCATTCAGTCATATCAAGTCTCACTCCATCCTAAAGAACATTACAGACATAAGACTCCCACAGTCCTGCAGCTTCATGCACCTCTGTCGTTTCTTGCAACCTGACCCACTCAGGGACTACAGGCTAGTCCAGTGTCTGAAGTAGTAACTTGCAGGATAAAACTCAAACTATAATGCCTGGGAAGCTAATATAAAATAAAGACTAGAAAATGAGTCTTCAATTTAGCAATCTGCAATTCTGGAAATAAAATCAAATATACTGACCTGGAGTCTGAGCTCTCATTTATAGTGTTGTTCAAGAAGTTTCCAAACTCCACTGCAAGAATTCCATTACTGACAGACCTAGAATAACAGTGTTCATTATCTCAGTGACTAGTTTCTTTTCCATTCATGGAGAATCCAAAGTCTCTAACAGTAACTATGCTAAGAGATGATGTAAGCCTAAGTTTAGCATAACACATGGCTGCACCCCAAAATGATGTAACTGGTGGATGGGAGGAAACTTTTTGATTTTTTCTGCCTCTCAGCAAAAAATGACTAATGGGAGTCAAATGGGAAAAATATGTCTGGCTTGTGGGATGCAGTTCTTTGTGCTGAACTCTTGGCTCGGTTGTCCTGGTCTCAAGTCTGTTAAGGTACCTGCTACTCAAATTGACAGAAGACAAGTTTGGACTCTTTTAGTTATCAGCGAGGGAGGAAATAGGACAGAAACTACACCACAAGGCTGTAATTTTGTCACCAGCAGCTCTCAGTTGGAAACACAAAAGATGTGTTCCCTTCAGCAATAAAATTGCTTTAAAAATTCCCACTCCTATCACAGTTCATAATCTCCTCGAATTAAATGACAGATTATAAAACCCAGTATTTTAGAGAGAGGAGTTTTTGTTATTTTTTAAACCCAGGTCATTTCAGTGATCCCACTGACAGAATGTATCTTAAATAGCTGTATGAGGACAAGTAGGCAGTGACAAACTGCACCTTGGGCACAGAAACTCCTGAAGGTACAGAAAACTGCACTCCACAGAGACATATTCTGTCTGTTGCACCTACAAGTCCACCTCCTATTTTTTCATAAACTACAGGCTGCAAGGGGTTGAGCAAGGAATAATATTTACAGTAAGAAAAAGCAACACTGAAAGCAAGACTCCCTGTAATTTTTCAGAAGTTTGCATAAACAACCAATTCTGTGAGGAATAAAATTAAGGGAGTCTTTAGCCTTTTCCTAAGCCTAAACCCATGTTTGGTCTAGTATTAGAGTCAGAAAATGTAATCACAACAAAAACTCCTGCTGCAGCTTCGTACTGCACTTCTTAATGTCCTCCTCGTTTTCTCTACTACCAAGAAAGATGGTATTCATGCTGCTCATTCCTTCTTTTTACAAGTAGATTCAAATTGTAATTGCTTCTGTACCCATGTGCCAAAGCTCACGAATCACTTTTTGCTTTTTTGACTCACCTAGAAGTATCAGTATGTCTCCTCAAAATGTATATCTTAGAAACAGAATTCTCTAATATGGTGAAGAGAACATAATGTATATCGGATGTTTTGTCATTCCATCTGTAATGTGGGGGAAGGAAATGAAAATTTAGGTCAAGTTTTAATAAAAGGTAAAACACACAGCACAAGGAATAGCAGCATACTTACAGAAATGGTAGCTTAAATAATTGAGGTGTGGAATCTTCACTGAAAAGGAAGACCAAACCAGTTCATAAAAATGTTACCATAAGTTTATGCAACTGAGCTTTAGAAACAATGTAAAGAAATACCTTTGAGAAGTTTTGTAAAGAGACATGCAAACTGCTTGATGCACTGACTTTCCTATTACATCCTACCAAATACAATGAGAACAAGTCAAAAAAATCCAGGCAGTTATTCATAATTATACATGTTTTTGAGAAAAAAACCAACAAACAAACAAAAGCACCCGAGCACATCAAAGAAACATCCACCAATATTTATGCTGGAACAAACATGCCTAATGCAAACACTGCTGTCACTTCATACACTTGTTTCATGCTTCTTCACAATATATAGGCTAACGTATTGCCAGCTAACACAGTTCTCTAGTACACAGTGCATACACCGAGCTAATTAACATTAAAAAGAGATACCAAAAATGTGAGAACAGAAGATGGGGGATTTTTAGTTTACATTACACTCCCTCTAGCCAAAGGCTTGAGACATCCTAGTAGTGGTGAACCTGGATTACACGCCACCATCTAAGTTGTAGGCACTCTAGACAAAGATAAGAACTTCAGGCTTTACTAAGCATGACCACTCTCTACAGCTGACTGCTGCCCCTAAAAGTTATCATTTATATAAACGGCACTTACTGCTGGCTTTTGTAAACACTGATCAATGACCCCTTCCATTTGCCTTTTGACAAAATGCAGTGATTTCTCAGGATAATAGGGAAACAGAAGAGGACTTTCTGTAAAGAGATAAAGAGATTTAAATAACGCTTGCACCTCTTTAAAAACACCCTGTGCTGTTACTGAAGCGGCAAAGTGGAGCGAGTCCAGCGGAGGGAGGCTCAGTAACAGGGTGGCAGGGCTAGAAGCAAGGGCTGACAGGGAGGAACCCCCTGGTCTCCTTCAGCAGCCTAAAGGAGGTGTTACAGAAGACACTGTTCTCAAAGCTGCACAGGACTCGACTGCACGAAGCCTTGAGCAACCCAGCTTAGCTTCAAAATTACCCCTGCTTTGGCTGGATTAGGTGACCACCTAAACCATTTCCTGACTATAAATTCTAACTTAAGTAACTAACTGGTTTACAACATGAACTAAGCAAATGAGACATTGGAGGCTTGCCTGCCTGCCTCTTCTGCTTTTCTTCACAGTGCAGTCAAAATTCCAAAAAGACAGAATTGCATTTATGTGAGACCTAGAAACACAGTTGTCATAAAACATCTTGTTTAAGCACAACAATTTCCCTGCTTTTTATAGTAGCTGTGATTCGGCTTCAATAGGACTGACTCGTTCTTATGAAATTAACTACTTCGTAAGAAGACATTTAGCTTTTAAGAGAAATCTCATTACTTAAAGTAGGTAACCAATGTTTCTTTTCCAATTTTCAGCTGGAAAAATGATAAAAATTACATCAACCAACAAAGCAATATAAACCACCAAAGATGGGTAGAAAGTGTCAATGACAAAAGCATTACTTGTCCTATAATCCTGTAAATATCTGTATTAATTTGGCAAGTATACCAACAAAACCACTTATAAGCCATCTCTACAAACAGTCGAGAATCTTGGGCAATAACAGAAACGACCAGTCAAATAGCCTACATATTTAAAGCATCAAACATTTTCAAAGTATGTCTAAAAATACATTTTCTAACTACTTTTCCAAATGAAAAAGCTACCACTTCTCCCCATTTTATTGAATTAAGTAGACTGGAAAAGGCAAATTCTACTACAAGCCAGTTTGTGCTGTACAAGTTTTACAGTCTATGGTTTTTAAAGTTAAACAAGGATTATTTTCACCACAAGCTTGTTCTACTCCTACTTTGCTCTCACCATCAATTAACAAAACAGTCTCAGACTCCTGTGAAAGAGAGCAATGTAGGACACTTCCCCCAGCCATGACCTAAGTGTAATCATTACTTCCTAAAACTGGAATTGAGATCTCTTAAAACAGACAACTCCTGGGATTCCTTCTAAGCCAATATTTCTGCAACTGGTGCATAAAAGGTAGGAAACTCCTAATACTCAGAAAATGGTAATTGACTGGGTAAGCAGCTACATAAAAACTGTGTAAAATAACAAAGCCCACCGATTTTATTCTATTCAGAGGAAGACCCATGAGTAACACTACGGAAATAACTTATAAGCATAACTCTTCTACATTTTTACATTCTATGCATAACTTTGATTCACTTTTACTTTTTACTGAAGCATGCTTTACCTTTAAGATGAGTACTGTTTTTAAGAAAGTTAAACCACTGGTTTCCCTCTGTATTAGGTGGTGACACAAGATCATCATCTTCATCTTTCAAGTACTACAAAAAAAGGCAGACATTTCTAAGATTGCATTTTAAGAATAAAGGATGTTAGAATTCTCCTCCAGCACTACTGCTCATGAGTCTGCTCAGTATTTCTTCTTAATCTAACATGCCCTAGTTTAAAAATTAAATATTCCACCCCTTCTAGAAGCAGTAAGAAAAATCAATTATTGACTAAGAACACAGTGATATTTCCATAATAAACTGATTTTTAAATTGAGTCTGAGCACAAACATTTTGAAATCCAGTGATTAATGGCATAAAGAGAACAAACATTTCAGTTTTGTATTACTATTTTGGCTGCAAAGAAATTTCACCCTTTTCTTAAAAATATAGCAAGTGTAAGGTAAAACAATAAGATGGTTTTCAAACACATTTTCTTGATAATAGAGGAAAATAATTAAAACACTCTACTGTTATTGCTATGTGCAACACAGAGCAAAAGGGACAGAGATGAGAAGTGGGCACAGCTTTAAACTCTCCATATAAGAATTTTCTTTTATTCTTTTTCCATTTATTCTCTAGTTCTTTACCTGTCCAACTCTCTCCACATTGAAGTATTTTCCTTTGCGATTGTAAAGTTCTGGTGCCTGAAAAAAATAATGCAAAACCCCCCATTATTTAAATTGAAAGCTAATGAGCAGTAGCATACAAAAAGATGACTGAATTATGTTATTGTAAGATTTTGCAGATTCAATTCTTGGCAGGAGGAGTACAGTTATATGCTGTATTTGGCAAACCAGTACAACTTACCTCATTGAAGTGTTCAGTAAGAAAATCAGCAACAAATGTGATATCTTTTTGAGTCATCTAAAAGGAAAAGAAGTGGTGAGAAAAGCAAAGGATAAGAAATACGTTTCCATGAGCACAGAACACAGGGTCTGCAGGCTGAACAAGAACAGATCCCTCAGCCTGCCCTCACAGGGCAAGCACTCCAGCCTCCAATCTGCCTGGGAGCACCCTGCTCAGCTCACTCCAGTTGATTCACCTCTGTCTCGTACAGGAGACCCCCAAGCTGGACAAAGTATTCTAGATGTGATCTGGTGAGTGCTAAATAAGGAGGGTGGCTACTTCCTGTGCCCTCCAGGCCATTCTCCTGTTAGTACAGCCCTGGTTACTGCTGGCCAACTTTGCTGCCAGGGCACACTGCTGGCTCACGCCCAGCTTGCACCCACCCACAGCCCCAAGCCCATCCAGCAGAAGAGCTCTGAGCCAGCTGGGGCCCTGCTGTGCAGTAGCAGGGGGGTCACTCTTCCCCAGGACAGAACCCTGCGTTTGTCCTTGTTGAACTTCAGGAGGTCTCTGTCTGTCCATTCCTCCAGCCCATCTATTTCTTTCTGGAAGGCACCTCTGTCCTGAGTGCACTAGCAGTTTCAGCCAGTGTGACAGTGTCTGCAAATCTGATGCAGATGTATTCCATCTCCTCCACCAGGGTACCGGGAAAGATGTTAAAATCCCATTCTGGGTAACACAGTAATTTATGGCACATACCCAGCTGCTGTCCACAGAGGCCTCGCGTTCACATACAGTGAACTAAAAAGAGTAGCATTAAGGAAGTAAACAGGAAAAGCAATTCATGCGAGACAGCATATTAGTGTGAATCTGCAGGCATCAACTTTCTCAAAAAAATGGCACAGACACTATCCTTTAGATTTTGGAGCAAAAATAAACCTTTAATCCTGCGCTCAAGTTAAGCAGACTACAGAGTAAACCACCGCTTATTAGAAAATGTTACTACTACCTTGTTCAGCTCAGGAAGCACGTGATCTTCTGACATCCTCAACATGGCTGAGGGGAAAATTGTATTTTTATTGCATTAATATTGTTTTCCTAATACACTTCATTTTCCATAGCTATGTAATAAGACACTGCTGATAAAATAGGAAAGATTAATTTGTCACAAGCAAGAGCGTCTGGAATGGAGAATTATGAATTGAGACTGAAATTGAGCCTCACTTGGCCCCCTAGCTTCCAATACAAATCTTGGAGAATTTTTATATTTAATCTTTTCCATCTGCACTGTACCCTGTCCAAGACTGAGAAGATTATTATAAAAAGGGTTTGTAAGAATTTATTCATGTGCATACTAAGAGTAGTAAAATGGATATATATATATATA